TCCCCAGAAAGCCGTGGGCCGGGGACTTCAGACGCCTCCCCATTGGCTTTCCTCGGCCAGCCCCTGCTCCGGATTGGCCCGCGGCCTGCACCTCGCACTGTGCTGCGAGCTGATTGGTGGAGAGGTAGCAGGGAGCATGGAGTGTTGCTCTGTTTATGCGTAAGACGAAAGCCGAAGCCTTAGCAGGTAGGCCGGCTGAGCCTTCCCAACAGGAGCGCAACTGGAGTGGAAGAGGGAGACGCGAACAACTCTTTTGAGAGTAAGTGGGCGGCCCTGAAAAGGACCTTTATGGAGAAAAAATGGTGACGAAAGCTTAACCCCCGAAGCCGTAGAGAGTGCGGCCCTGGCGCTTGAGCGCGTACACCACGTCCATGGCCGTGACCGTCTTGCGCTTGGCGTGCTCCGTGTAGGTGACGGCGTCCCGGATCACGTTCTCCAGGAACACCTTGAGCACCCCGCGGGTCTCCTCGTAGATGAGGCCGGAGATGCGCTTGACGCCGCCGCGCCGGGCCAGCCGCCGGATGGCGGGCTTGGTGATGCCCTGGATGTTGTCGCGCAGCACCTTGCGGTGGCGCTTGGCGCCCCCCTTGCCTAGGCCCTTCCCGCCTTTGCCCCGGCCTGACATAGCTGCCTAAGCACGTTCTGTGAGTAAATCACAGCGATGGCCCCACTGTCCCGACCGGCGTTATTATAAGCCGTCGTCGGACCTGATTGAGAACTGAACGCGCGGGCGGGAACCGAGGCGCCGCGACCGCACGCCGGGCTCCGCCCCTCTCTGGGCTGAGAGCCAATGGCGGTGTGGGGGAGGGAACGGAGTGAGGAGTTTCACTTTTAAGCTCTAGATTTTTCTGAAACCGTTGATTTGTATCTGAAATTATATCTTCCCGTGAGAATGTTCACAGGGGCTCATTTTTTTAAAATAAGCAAGTGCTGTCCTTTCTCCTTCAGAAGGGGATGATTGGGAAGGGTACCCTAGGACGCCACCCCAAAATAGGAGTGGGGAGCTCAGACACACCTTCCCCAAACATGCCCCGTGCGTGTGAACGGTAAGGTATACGCCGCCCGCACGTAGGCCTGTCTGACATAAGGGCTATTTCTGAGCAGTTTAGAGAAATACCAGACGCAGGAGAATCTCTAAAACCAGAGGAGAACTCACATTTTCTTAAGGGGAATTTCACATTTGTGAAGGAGATCTCAATCTGTGTCTCCCTCTCTGTGCCAGAAAGAGAAGGACGACTAGATCAGCACAGAAACTTGTCCATGGAGAAAGCCCGGCCTTGATTCTGCAGAACAACCTTGCCTTGTTTACCATCCTTTCCCTGGGAGCCCATAACCTGCGCCCTGTGCACGCCCCTCCCGCATGACATCTTTTGTCTTTAGTGGAAGATGGTATGTAAAGGGGGTGGCTTGGGCCTTTTCAGGTGTTCTCAGTTTTTCAGAGTCTCTCTTTCCCATGTATACCTGAGGTATATATATCATTAAACCTCTGTTTTTCTGTCCTTAATATGCCTTTTATGGCAGGGTCTAGGCCAGAAACTCAAAAGGGCAGGGGAAGTCATTTTTCCTCTATTACAGCGGTGTGACCTTGTAAAGTTGCCCTTCATTTTCTTTATCTGTTAAGGTGGAGCGATGATAGTACTCAGGGAACTTTTGTAAAGATTGAAATTACCTAACGTAAACAGAAGGCTAGAACAGAGATTGGCTCAAAGACATAAATATGGCTGGTTTTTAGTTGGTATTGTTGCTTAAAGAACCTGTCTGGAGTTAGGATGTTGCCCTGAGCCTTCACTTTCAGGCTTTTACTCGTGACAATATAGGCAACACAGATACGTATATAATAGCGAAGGTTTGTTTTTTTTTTTTTTTTTTAATCACAACATTTAATAAAGTACAAGACATTGATGGATTCTGGGTTTTTTGGTTTTGTTTTCTTTTCAATTGAAGTATTAGTGACTTACAATAACATACTAGTGTATAACGTAGTGAATTGACAATTATATACATTATGAAATGCTCATCATGATAAGTGTCGCTACCATACAAAGTTGTTACAATATGATCATATTCCCTATGCTGTGCTTTTCGTCCTTGTGACTTATTTATTGTATAACTGGATGTTTTTCCTTCTTAATCACCTTTACCTTCTTTGCCTCTTACCCCTCGCCCCTAAACTACCGATTTGTTCTCTATATTTATGTTTGCTGTTGTCATCGATGCTGTTTTATAGACTCCACATGTAAGTGAAGTCATATGGTATTTGTCTTTCTCTGCCTGACTTATTTCATTTAGCCTAATACCCTCTAAGTCCATCCATGTTGTGAATACCAAGATTTCATTCTTGGTATGACTAATGTCCCATTTTATATACAAATGACCTTTGAACAATGCAGGGCTTGGGGGGCTGATTCTTGCACAGTTGAAAATCCAGATATAACTTGTGACCACCCCCCACCCAAACTACCAATACCATACTGTTGATTAGAAGCCTTACTGATGACATAAAGTCTATTAATATGTATTTGTTATATGTATTATATATTGTATTCTTATTATAAAGTAAACCAGGGAAAAGAAAATGTTATTAAGAAAACATAAGGAAGAGAAAAACCTTTACAGTACTGTGTTGTATTTGTTATAAAACTCTGCAAATAAGGGGACACATGCATTTTGAATCCGTATTGTCAGCTCTATGTAAGACTCCGTCTTTATTCATTCACCTAGTGACTGACAGGCTGTTTTTCTGTTCATACACGACATGTTAAATATGGTTGCCTGAGAATATCCCTAGGCGCCCTTTCCAAAGGGGCATTGACAAGTAATGTTCCTTCCTGGCTCTCCGGCAGCCGAATCTGGAGTACAATTCACATTTCTACACTGACTTCCCACTTTGGTGTTAAACCTCAGACACTCATGGATTAGTAAGTCACTTCTACTGGGATGACTGGAAGGGCTACTACTAAATCTTTAACTCTGAAAAATACACCCTGACCTTGGCCTCCTCCTCTCTTCTGAAAGTCTGTATAAACCCAAAGTTCGAGAGCCAGCAGTAGTAGCGGTGAATTTCAGCATGTGGTGTCGTATCACCATGGTGTCTGGGAAAGAAACACCGTGTTTCATGAAGGACCTTCCAACAGCCATTTAAAAAATACAATCTGTATGTTAAAAGCCTTTTTTTCCCTCCAGCATGACCATAGTCACTCCGCTAATAGAAAGTAATAAATGCTTCATGCAGTGATATTAAATGTGGGCACAGCTCCCCTTCCAATATATTCAGTAAATTTCTTTTTTTCCCCCCCACACCTTAGCTCTTACTCCTAACATTTGTGGCCTACAACTGAGATGGGAGTTGATGCACCGACCTAAATCAGGTGGAAAACCATCAACAAAAAACAAGATTCACCTTGAATTGTGTGGTTTGCTTGGATTGCTTTACATTCCTGGATTCTGATAAAACAACTTTGACTTTACAAAATATTTGCAATATTTATGACTGAATTTCCTCCATTCTTTGCTTTTAGAATACCTGCTGAAGTTTCATTTCCAAACTGGGCCGAGTCTATTCAATAAAGTCATGCCCAATGAAAAGGACATTTAGAGGGGAAAGTTTGAGTTTTTATTTCAATTTTCAAAGAAATGTTAGAGTCTAAGGGAGAATCACACGCAGCTCAGGAAAATTCATAGCATTTCTCCAATGCCACGTGTCCAAAAATCAACTTCTACGATCCCAGTAACTATGATACCCACTAAGGTGGGTAGTGTTCTTCCCTATTTTTCTGATGATGGAGAAATCAATTTGTGTCAAGACGATACGGTAAGTGGTAACACTGCGATTTGAATGTGGGCAATCTGATATCTAAATGCTGCCCTGTGCTTCCAGTTTCCAGAATACTCCTGCAGAAAGATTAACAACGTTATGGATTCTAAGATAGTGCTATCCTTATTCACCAGACACTGGGCAGTTTTTCTGTTGAGGGACTCAAGTAAATGAAGACTTAGAACCAAATCCACATTCCTTGACTGGGAAGGGGATGGGGGAGGGCAGGGGCAGCCAATCTGAGCCACTGTCCCCTGGCCATCCCACCCTCAGACAGCAATGGGCACTTGTACCTTTTTAAAGCTATCCTTTCAGGCCCTGTACCTTAAACACCCCTTTTCTAACAGATGCAAAACATATCGAGGAAAAAGCCAAACAATGTACATAAAAGCCAGCACAGCGATAAGAAAAACCAAGAAATTTGACTTCAGCTGGGGCCCAGATGTGGGCTGGGGCAGGGGGACAGACCCTGGCTCAAGCCAAGGGCATCATTGATGCCTCTGACAGCCCTTTTACATGGATAACAAAGGTCTGTGCCAGACATTTACATGTAGGAGAGCCTGGAAATTTAAATAAAAATACAACGCAATGACACACGCGAGTACACACACACACACACACACACACACACACACACACACACACACACAAATAGAAACATCCAATCTTATTACTTAGAAAAATGCAAATATTTTGTAAAGTCAAAGTTGTTTTATCAGAATCCAGGAATGTAAAGCAATCCAAGCAAACCACACAATTCAAGGTGAATCTTTTTTGTTGATGGTTGTCCACCTGATTTAGGTCGATGCATCAACTCCCATCTCAGATGTAGCCCAGAAGTATTAGGGGTAAGAGCAAAGGTGTGGGGAAAACTGAAGCGAAGCCTTTGGTATTTGGAGCTGTCATTATTCAGTATTCTGTATTGCTCTGAAGGTTGTAGAGTTTTGTATAGTGTAAACGCTATATGATCTTCTAAGTGTTTCCTGATAGTTGGGGATGTAATCTAAAGCTCAAATTTTTTAGAGGCAAAATTAGGCACATTCAAAGTGGGCAGTTCATGTACCCGGCTACTGGTTCAAGGTCGTCCCCTTTTCAGTAAAGGCACACGATATAGTCTAGGAAAGTGGGTTGACCGGATCATATGCAGTCTGTCACATGGTTTTCAAAAACGGACCCCTTTTGCTGGGTAGAAGTCCCATCAGAACAACCAGATTTCAAGTAATGCTTGGTATGGCCATGGTCACCTAAACACCATCTAAAGGTTCACAGCCACTTTTGTGGAGCTAATTGGGTGGCTCTGAAAAGAGCCTTTGGGTTTAAGATCGGCGATCCTTCGTTAAGAACTTACGCCCTCTCGCCGCGGATGCGGCGCGCCAGCTGGA